CCGCTCATATGATCCTCGAAGGCCCTCAAGCCAGCGAACCCAGCCATCCATCTTCCAGCCCGATTTGTTTTTGCTTTTGGGGTCAGTAACATATTCATCACCTTGTTGACCTAGGATCATCCCCGACACCATGGCCTGGACAAAACCGGATGGAAATTGTGTCGAAGTCTCAGTGAGACGGGTGATCCTCTCGATGACGGCAGGCTGTGCAGTAATCCAACCCAAGCGGCAACCAGGCGCAATGGTCTTGGAGAAAGTGTCCAATCGAATGACTCGTCCATCTGTATCTAGAGACATAAACGATGGCACAAGAGAGTCCAAAAATGGGTACCCGGACGATTTTCCGTGAGCATTATAATTTTGCGTGATAAGTGCCTCGTCAATGGGTGTGTTACGGTAACGAGCTGCCATTCTTTGAGCAGAGGGATACTGCAAATTCCAATACGGATCGTCCTCGACGATGATAACGTCGTACCGCTGGCATAGAGCGTAGATCTCTTTCCTGCGATTGACTGACATGGTACCTCCCGTAGGATTTTGACCAATCCTGCAGCCGCGTGAGAAAGAGCGGAACCGTTAGCTGGCATCGCCTGCACCAAGTATTGCAACGACCAATAACGGTCTTGACTGACGAACTTACGTGATGGTGTACAACAAATGAGGACGACGTCCTTTGCGGTAATCCCAGTTTTCGAGAACATCGGCCAGACCACCTTTGCCGTATGCCAGTATACCTTGGGCATCCATAGTGACCGCGGCTATGTTGAGACCACGAGGCCGAGCTGTTTGTATGGCATTCATGTAAACAAACTCCTCGCAGACGATGCCTTCACGCTGTCGAATCGGATCCCTATCTGGAGTCCAAATGTTTGTGAAAGTTTCGATAACTTTGTTGAATCCATCGGTCGCACCGCAGCTGAGCAGAGTTTCTGGACCACCCGCATACGGCACATTGGGGTGCAGATGCTCCCTTGTGAAATTCCGAACGAATGATGCCATAGGAGGTAATCCTTGTGCCGTGCCGTACTGCAGGGCAGTGGTGATGTCGATTTTCTTTTCCAAATCGTCCGTTTTGCTCTCTTTGGGGACAAGCACGCGCGTTAGTGAATCTGTATCTTTCTGCGGCGCCGATTTGCCGTTGTCCGGGTTAGGGCCGAAACGCTGAGGATGAGCAACGGCAGCTTCTAGCGTGTCATACGGGAAATATGAAGCGTGAGGCATGCCTGGAGGAAATGAGTCAAATGTATTGGTTTAAACGATATTATCAGAAAGAGCTCGCCCTGCATACCGCCAGAGAGGTTTCCCATGCCCGGGATGACATAGTACTTGTATAATCTCTTGAGATTACTCGACTCACGCCGAGCTGTAGTAGAGGAGAAGTGATGTGACAAGTCCAATGGAGCGGACAGCTCCTTTTGCTTCAACCGAGCCATCTTGAGCAATCAAGTCCTTTCACAGCAATTTGATGAGGGAAATAGTGAATGGGGGAAAAGAAAGACAAGCACCAGGTCAACCAGGGGATAAGAATCAGGGCACCCTGATAAAGGGACCACGGATCCTGCCCGTTATCTCCTGCTGGTCGACTACTGGAGAATCATCATAAATGTCATGATTGATAAGCAGCCTCAACGGCTAGATAGTGGGCCATCTGGGGGCGCCGTTGCTGGCCCTGCCTCTTGGCGTCGGTAATTTCCTACGTATCTACCTATCTCATCTCTTGTGTGCGATTGCTAATCCGGCGAATGATTGCTCAGAGGACCGTAAAATAGGATCAGTCCAAAGAATATCCGCGGAAGCACACTCAACGCTCGATTTGAATGAACAGTGGTCCAAGTCGGATACATTGATGAGCGCGGTCGTACTGCGGGATGGTAAAGCATCGTAAGAACGTGGGGTGTCAACGATCAAACAAGCATGATAGCATCGCATCAACAACTAGAGAGAGATTAGGATCTACTTGGCAGATATCTAACCAGTGTTTGACGTGCGGCAATCGTTGGCAATTGTATTACAACTGCATTTGTGCTAAGAATGATGTAGATCTGGGGAAATCCAAAGCTCCACATTTTCATATGTTGATAGTCATAGTACATCTCTGCATACATCGATCTGTTTAAAGTCTCACCAGTCCGCTACAAAGGGCTATTTTATCTTTCTTCACCAGCGAATAACACTACTACTCCTTCCCAATCCTATCCGAATATCTTTCTTTGCCACCTCCAAATATCTTTCGCGCCACAAGCTTAGATAATCCTGTGTGATAGGCTCTTCTCAAGACAGCTGACAGGCGATGACTAAGGCCGCTGTCGATCTTCAGTCGGACAATGGCATCCCCCCGCCAATTCTTGCCCGACTCTCACCTTTCCATCGTTCTATTCTTTGGATAACCCAATATACCCTCATTATCATCTGTAACGTTGGGGGACATGCCTTTCTATCCCGGAAGAGAATGAATGGTGTTCTTTCAATGCTGTGAAATTCATTCTTTTTACTACTAGTCGTCTTGCCCCCACTCTGGCGATCTTATCGGCTTCTATCGATTAGCCTTCTTGTTCCGCCGACTCCCAGTCTTGATATTGATATCTGTCGCTGGCTTGATATATATTTTATAGAGACATCTCACAATGATTGGTGAAGGTCCCGAGGACGGTTTCCGAGTCTATATCCCACCAGTGGTCGACTCCGAGAATCGTGATGCGGATTCCGATGCTTCCGACGACTGTTTGCTCCCTCGAGATGAAGAGACCGGCTCCAGTTATGTTCCCGTCTGGTTACGGGAATCCTCCAAGTCGTTTCGCTGGGGCTGGGTCCCTCTGCCTATTCGAAAGGTTGGACGCGCTACTGCGAACTGGGTGAAGGGCCCGAGTCCTCCACATTCGCTGCTGCTGAAACCGCTATTCCTGCAAATCCAAGAGCTTCCGGTCCGTTATCTGGACCGATTCTTCCCTAAGCGGAAGCACAAGATCTCCTTACTTGTACTCCTCTATATCGCTTGGTTTACTCCTTGGACCATTGTTCTGCTTCAATCTCGCTCGGCTGGCTACATCGAGGGGTATGGACGACCGCAAACCCTTTCGTGTTCGACGACCTTTTGGTGAGGATGCCTTGCTTGATATGTGTTTAAGAGCCTGTTCTGACTACCTATCAGGGAGCATGGAAATGGATGCGGTCTCAACGGGAACGATTGCCGTCCGTTTTCTGCCTCGACCGTTGCCTTCCGTTGTCCGGCAAACTGTCACGATGTCAAATTGTTGCAACCTCACACCGTTGGCAACCAGACTTACAGCTACCGAGGACTAGTCGTCGGAGGACCACAAGCAGATTCATCCGAGCCCGGTGTTTACCGAGCTGACAGTTTCGTGTGCCAGGCCGCTATCCATGCTGGTGTCATTACGAACGCAGTTGGCGGCTGCGGTGTTGTGAAGCTAGAAGGAGCGGCGCACTCATTCCCTGCTTCGAAACAGAACGGGATTCAGTCTGTGGGCTTTCCGTCGACTTTCCCAAAGGCCTTCAGCTTCGTCGACCTGGCTTCCTCCCAGGCTACTTGCCCAGCAGATCCAAGATGGACTCTCCTGGGCATAACCATTGCCGCCCTCACACTTCTGTGGCTCTTCTCGACGTCGCCGCCTGTCCTGTTCTTCAGCACCTTTTCCATGCTCTTTTGCCAAGTGGGGTTGGTGTCTGATCCGCCGTCGATTCCCCAGTTCGCCGACCTTGTGTCCACTCTACTTGCGCGGTTATTACCAGCATCATTTGTAGTCTACGTGCTGTACAAGTATTGCGCGCGTCCTCTCCTGACGCCCCTTTCTCAGCCAAAGTTCCAGTTTACCAAAACATTCTTATACTTGCCACCCGCTTTCATCGGCGCTTTGAACAATTACACTTTTGCGAGATTGATTCCGCTGGAGAGACTGACCCCTCATGATATTCAGCAGCAACCGGGAGCGAAATTGGCGTTGGCTCTGGTGATTCCGACCGTGGTCCTAGTTATCCTCAGCCAGGCCTGGCAAATCCGCCAGGGTGGCCTGATGCCGCATTATCTCAAGGTGTACTGTACCATGGGTCTCATCCTCCTGATTCTGCTTCCACTACCCGGGCTCCGTCTTCGGATTCACCATTACATTCTTGCCATCCTGCTGATGCCGGGGACGGGATTTCCCACGCGACCGTCGCTGATATATCAAGGGCTGCTACTTGGGTTATTCATCAATGGTGTGGCGCGCTGGGGCTTCGCATCCATCATTGAGACACCGACAGCCTTAGGAGAGCTACCGGGCTTTGACGGAGTCAAGGGTTGGTGGGGGTCAACATACCCCAACATCACAGAGGCGTCTGTCATTATTTCGCTTCCTGATGCGGGCTCCCCCGGGTATCGTGGCAATGGTAACATCACTTTCGAGCTATGGGAGAGGGAACGCATGGCTAAGCTCGATGTCGACGGAGTCAGCGTTTTGGTCAATGATGTGGAACGCTGGCGAGGGTACTTGGACGAGGATAAGCGCGGAGAATTCACTTGGCACCGACATGGACATAGTGGTCTCGAGTTGTTGCACGGTTCTACGATTGAGAGTGACCCGGACGCCGGCGTCGCTGTCACCGATGCGAAGGATGACGAGAAACCCGAGGATCTCTTCTTCCGCTTCGCCTTCCTTCGAGGAGCTGAAGCGGGCAAGTACGGACCAACAGGTGTTTGGCTTGAAGACGGGTCGTGGCTCCCACCAGCGCCCCCGAAGGCTTAGATGTGATACCCTGATATATCGTACCTTGGTTTATGATTTTGACGACAAAAGACTCGGTTAGATGGTATAAACGATTAGATACATTCTTATGATAGGGTTGGATATTAGGCGCTGTTCGGAGGATATTCATTGACAAGACTATGACTTCTTATCCCGCGTTTGGTTCTCAATTGATTTCGATCTATCTCCGCATCCTTCTCCAACAGTCTAGCAGCAGTATTCTCGTCATACATCTATTCATTTACTCCGTAGTTTACTTTTTCAAGCACAACCAGTCGCAGCAGCTCCCACTTCGGTCGGATAAACCGCCGTCTGACCCGGCTGCTCACACTGGCAACTCTTAGTCGTCGTAGGAATGCCCTCACTGGCACACGCCGCCGGCGAAGTAATACAATACTCAGCGGTGGAGGTGGCAGTGGTCATCCCAGCAGGACAATTACTCGACGGCATGCAGAAGGTATCCACAGTCGACCGTCCAGGCAGCAGGGTCGCACTGTACCACTGATCCATGGCGCAGGAGCACGACACGACTATCATTCACCACATTAGCCTCTTCATCATGCCGGGACCCCGAAGAGAAGGCGGGGAGGGGAACTCAAAACTCACTGCTAATCGTCGTACTGGTCGTCTCGCCCGCCAGCACACCCTCATACAGCGTCGACGTCCTCCACGGGATCCCGCCGTTCGAGCACTTGGTTGTAATCCAGCTCGCGTCAACGGGGTAGCACGTCGAGGCCTCTATGCAGTGCCCTGGGTGCCAGACGCCTGGAAAGTAGCCCGCCGAGCAGGAGATTGGGGGAGGCGCGCTGTGGCAGTAGGAGACTGGGGTGCCCATTGTGCAGTCTGTTGTGTGGAGGAGGGTGGAGCCTGGTCCGCAGGTTGGGGTTGAGGCTGGGGCTGTGGTGATGGAGGCTGCTGCTGTTGTTGTTGCTAGGGTTGTTGGTGTTTGGGTTGGGGTGGGGGATGGGAGGGTCGAGGCCGAGACCGAGACGGCTGCGGCTGCGAGGAGGAGGTGGAGGATAGTTGCGGCCATTTTGATGGTGTTCAGGCTTCTTTTTTTGGGTTACTGAGTGGTTTGGAGTGATTTGTGAGGGAGGGATTATGAGGGGAGGTCGTCTTTATAGTCTTGATTCTATATGTTGGTTTTTTTTGACAGGGTACAAGGAGGTAGTAATGCGGAGTACGTAGTACCGAGCTATATTTGGTTCAGCCGCTCAGAGCTGAGAGGATGAGTACATCCTTACGAGCTTATCAAGGCAAAATGTCTTAGACATGCAGTGCCAGGGCCGTGACGGCACTTCAAGCAGGCTGTCGAAGCCACCCGTTCGGCGCAGTGATTGGATCGTTGCTAATGCAGGATGGATCGACGGCCAAGACTGCCCAACACAGGATTTTGTGGTTGGTGACAGGATGGCCGGGTGTCTCACTAAAGTCAGCTTGTCACGTTGCTCAAATGATTCAGTAAGAAAATGATAATACTATTTTTAAAAAGCCCCGGGGCCAAGCGGAAATACCGGATTTCTCCAGTCTTGATTTCAATTCATATATTCAACAGGACTTATCAGCTCATCGAGCGAATGAACATGACGATGTCCAGCCTCCTCCCTCAGGGAGAAAGCGGTAGGTTGCAAAATGTACAGAAAAAAAGGAAGAAAATTGACAACAGGAAAAAAAAAAAAAAAAGGGGATATCCTGGAAATCAAGGCGCGAGAACAAAATCTGATGTTAGTCAACATCCAAAGAGGGACTTGGAGTCAGATGTTCGTGCAGAACTGAAACATCAGGCAACAAGAACAAGGTACCCTACGTAGAAGACAGAAGGCGCCTAGCCCCTTTGGTGAAGGTGGCCGTGGCCATGACGCTTGTGGACATGGTGAACATGCTCTTCTCTCTTCACCGGTGTTTCCGTGGGAACAGTGACAACAGTCGAGACGACCCGGGTGGTGGTGGATGTGGTGGTTGACAACGTCTCTATGCTACCGGTACCGGTCCCAAGGATGTTGTTCAGACCGTCAACCCAGACGATAATCTCCTGCTCGATATAGACAACCTCTTGAGTGACGGCACTCTGAATATAGGATGTGGTAGGAGTCGGAGTCCAGGTCGTGGTCGGCTTGCTGACTTGCAGGTTGTTGCCAAAGGCGCTGGCATGGAGCGCCAAGTCCGCAGAGACCGAGGCCACCGCTTCAGTGGCTGCACTGAACGCGCTGGAGACCACGGAGCTGACGGAAGCGGCGACATCGCTGGCATAGGCGGGCCCCCACTGGACTGCGAGCTTGTTGGGAAGACCGCCCCTAGTTAAAGTCACCTTTTCGTTCTTCAAGGCGGTCGGCATATCGAATGCGCACTGTCGTTGCTTGTCCTCGCTCTGAATATCGAAAACGGCGCAGTCCTCAATCTCACCCGAAGGGTTGGTGCACTGCTCCACTGCCTGCTGTAGGACACCCGATTCCCAGCCGTGCATGAAGTCGCCATGATAACCAAATCCTGTAGGATCGCCGTTGGAGATAACGAAGTAGCCCTTCTTGTCCTTGAACGCATATGTATCCCAGATGGACTCGTAGAAGAGAGAGACAACGCGTGTCTCGAAGCCCTCGGGACATGTACCGTCCATAACCAGCGAGGGATAGGCCACATGTGATTTGTGATCATCCGAGTCGACATCCTTGCCGTTCCAGCACGAAGGGAACATCAACTCGAACCGGACACCGTCGGTGCAGTGCTCATCCAGGTATGTCTTGTTTGGAAGGAAATGGCGGCCAAGAGAAGGTTCAGGATCTAGAGCGTAGTTCAGACAGTTGAAACCGATCGCCTTCTGCCGAAGAGCAGCCTGCGATGCTTGCTTGCCTGTCCATTCCGACTTGGGAGGGTCGGGGATCGGCCAGGGAAAGTCGCGCAGGTATGTATCGCCAGCAATCATGCGGAAGTTGTCGGGAAACGCGGTCACGTTCTCTCCGTAAAGCAGGTAATAACTATTGTCGACGCATCGTGAGCTAGTGCCTGCGTTTCAACTTGGAGACTACACTTACGCGAGCATGCCTCCAACCTGATTGACAATTTCGGCATCCCCATTCTCATGCATAAAGTAGAGCGCTGGAATCCAATACGCGGACTTGTCCTGAGTAACCGCGCATGAGGTACAGCTTGACGCCTTCAAGTCAGCCCCGGTAGCCGACATAGAAAAGCCTATCCAAAGATCATCAGTACGAACTCAAGTGCGGATAAGGGCCATCCCACTAACCGCCAGAACCATGAACTGCATGCACGTGGGACGAAGGCTTGCCAGGATCCATGAGAGGGTCGATTCTGGCAAGACCAGTCCGTCCACGGCAGGGAAGACGCCAGAAGGCGTCAGTGAGGCCGGATAAGGCCAGTAAACCGGTCACGAGGCCGACATGCAGCCTCATCATTCGAGCCATAATAGTCGCGTTTCTAGACTGTGGTTTCAGTTTTGAATGAGCGGATCTGATGTCGGATTGTAACGAGAGAAATGGTCGGCTAGAAGCGTCACCAGGAGCAGTGAGTATGAACCAGACACAGAAATATAACAAAATGAGTGTAAGAAAGGAATGAAAGGCCCAAAAAGAGACCGTTCGCGATGTTGATGCCGTTGAAGTCGGGGGTACATGAGCTGCAGGTAGTATGTCCGGACTACCGCGCAGCAGCCGGCTGGAGATAGTAAATACCAGGCAGTCCAAGGCCAAACATCAACGTCAACAACAACAATAACAACAACAATATTGGCATAACTTGCACATCGCGCATTGCACATTCAAGGCACAGCGCACTGACCAAGATCCAGTCAAGGACAAGCCCCACGGTACAAAGGAAGAGCTTCAAAACCGTTTCAACCCAAGTGGTTCATCTTAGGGACGGGAATGTCCCTTGCAGCGAGGGTGGGTAGTCACATTCTCCGCTACATCACAGCCCCACAAGGTGAACCAGGACAATTGTAGATAAAGAGAAAGGGTGATCAAAGAGTATTGGCCAGCTTGAAAGAAGGGGACAAGGAAGGTAGAGCAAATGGAAAAAGGTACATACCCTTCTGTTGAGGGGCTGTTCCTATTGGTCTTGTGTTTGTTGTATGAATTCTTGAGGGGCGGAAAACCGAATAGTCGATTCGATGTAATGCGGGCGAATGAGACTGGAATGTAGGACCTTCCAAAAGTCCTTTATGGAGGAAGTTGTTCGGTATGAATCTCGAAAAGCTCAGTTGTACTCTCAGACCAGCCGATCACCAGAGAGGCGTGGAAACGAACGATGAAAAGTGGGAGAAGAAGCAACGGTGCGACAGAGAATGACCGAAATCCGAAAAGTACTCAAAAGAGTGAACAAGACGACCAGAGCGTCTAAGAATGAATGAATGAATGAATGAAATAATGAGTGAAGGGGAGCACAAGGGATGGTCGGAGGTCGAGGTAGAAGAAGACGTGAAAGAAGGGAGATTTAGCCAGGGTCTATGAAGTATGGAGCATCCTCTCTGTTAAATAAAAGTACCTACGAATAAAAGGAGAAGATGTCTGGAGTGCAGATGAAAATGAACTTTCAAAGAGCCTAATTCGATTAGCTCTATGGAAACGATTTTGAATCTGGGGTCTGAGCTTTTTTTTAGTGGTAGCAGTAATAATTTGTAGTGGTTGGCGATATCAAGATCCAATCTCCAGTTATTAATGAGCGGCACCACCAGAGCCTTAAGCGAAGACGTTTACCAGAAAACCTTTCATCTGTCCCGTGCGTGCTCTGTAGGTACTATTATTATTCTCAAACTCATCCCTTTCTTTCTTGTCTTCTCCTTGAGCAAGAAGTTTGAAGACAATACGTGGCCGTGCTTGGCCTGGGACTGCTAAGAGCCGAATAATCCTCTGGTGTTTGACCAGGGCGACAATCACCCACACCAGAGTCAAGTCCACACTATGATAGGAAGATTCTGTACTGTGACATCCACTTGATCAAGCCTCCAAGCTGCTCAATAATACCTATCAATGACTGACGACGCAGACTATCGCCGATGGTTTCCCAACAACAGGACGCTATCGAGCCGCGGGGGTTTGGGAAGTGGGATCGAGGGGCTCGAGGGGGGGCGCGCGGCTGGGAAATTGTTTCTGAGGGTTAAAATGATGTGAAGATCGTGTTCAGCGGGTCTTTATCAATGAAAACCACCTAATAAACTCGAAATGATCAAACAGAATAAAATTAGCAGGATGGTTTGAAACTGATACACACACGCATTATTGGTGGTTGACAAGGGCGTTTCATAGATGCTCTCTTACCTGGATAACCAACATGCTACAGAGCAGATAGATACTAGAGGGGCCAAGGGAGGCGCTGCGCCCCCGACGGCGTCTTAAGAGATATCCACCTTTGTTAATATAGTGTGTGCTGTTCTTCATGATTCAGAATTCAAAATACCTGTTTGTTGGAGTTACGGACTTGTATGCCCCTGAAGATCAACGATGATATGATCTGACTCTGACACTGGAGAATCAGATCCTCTGATTATCATGTCCTATGCTAAAGTAGCAAAAGGAGCAACTCCATGTGCTCATAGCGAAGATCATAAGATGATTTCCCTTGTTCCTGACTAGTGGGAGGCAATAGACGCTATGGCTGGTGATTGGATATTGTCCACGCAGGTTGATGCTTGGCGGCGGTTCTTAGCGGCTTTTAGCGGTTTCATCTTTGTGCTCATCTCCCTTTTTTCTGATTTCGTTTCGTCTCCTTGCGCTGACTCCTGAGAGTTTGTTAGACCCAAGTCTGAAACACAGTGACATCAGTGCTGATTGGATGGGGTTCTTGCCCAGTTGGCGGGCTCTCCTGATGTGGAAGAAGACATAATCATCGTCAATTCTGCTATTCATGTCCTTAGTGTTCGGCTTTAGCAAATTCTCTAAATCGACGTCGCCTTCGAGATCTCATCGATCGCAAAGCATGTCTCATTTATTCTAGGAAGCCACATCGCGAACGGTGGGCCAATTGCACCATCTCTCTATACACACAAAACAGCTTCCATCTCGCTGACGAAGCTTGATACAG